GGCGTCCGAAGAAGACTCATCTAAGTAGCATTAGTAGGACAAGTGTTGCGATATAGATGCTTCTTGATTATCATCTTTTGATCCTTTGTATAGGTACTATACCTTAAGCTACCTGTGCGTTGTTTTCATGAGATAAGCTCGTGTGATGTGCTTCCATGAGATGGCGACTGAGCTGGCGGAAGAGCATCTTGGACTGCTGAATATGGAGGGGGGTTGTTTGCTTCTGGAGAAGGCAAGCACTGCGATTGGTTGTGCCAGGGGATGTCTGTGAGGCAGAAACAAACAAATCCCAAACACTATCTAGCCATTCAGGCAACAAGCATAGATCTACCAAGCGGCTCGAGGCCGGGCTGGATGTATTGGAACAGGCACTGAGCCTCTGGAAGAATCCTGTAAACATTTGCGACTCGCACAAATCTTCGCCAATCTTCCGATGACCAAACATGCTGAGAATTGAAAGGATGCCCTTCACTCGAAAAAAAAGAGGTGCTTTTCAAGATGCTGAAGAGAACGTTTAATATTCACCAACATTCCCAGGAGCCCTATGTTTCTGAGAGGATAGCATGATTGTGATGTGATGTTGATGCTGCTGCGCGAATTCCCGAGATTCCCGACTGCCTCCAAATCCGTAAAGGCGGCCTCAGTGGACTTCATCACTAACGAATTCGTGAGGACACGTCGAGTAGTCTCTATATGTCAATTATGTATATATAATAGATGATAGTGTTAACAAACATGGTTCAAAGTTTAGACATGTTTAATAGACGACCTTTAAATTAAGATTCACTGTTCAATGCTTGGGCGCCGCTCCATCCAAACCAACGGGGGGCACGTGAGTTCCGGTGGTTCGGTGTCGATGACCCGACAGTTGGGTGGATGAAAGGCCTTGAAATAAAGCAAAATCCATCCATCCACCATCAACACCCATCCATGAACTTGCGATCCAATTGAAATATCCGACCAACTAGATAGCATAACGTGGACTATCTAGTACTAACTCGATCTACTAACCAACCTAGAAGAGCCTCCAAGTATCCCCGAGTATCCACTCATCCATGAACGCGAATTGGATGGGGGGTGCCTTGGCGGGGGTGGAGGTCACCCCCCCCCAAGAATAATTTATACATTATTCCAACCCCCTTTTACATAGGTGTTGTGAATATCCTCCATGTAGGTTTCACGGGGTTGGAATAATAAAACCATTGGATATTATTCTGCCAGAGGTCTTTCAGAGATCCAGCTGCGATGCTTCTTTTTTCAGCTTCAGGCCGCCTGCTACCCAAAGCAGGCAGTCAACAGAGTCTCTTTCTACTTGGATTGATTTGGAAGTCCCCTCATAAAACTGACCTGCTTTCACTTGACTTCATGTGTATTTACAACCTTGCCTACAAACCACTTACAGTAAACATATCTAAACAATAGTCAAAAACTACCTGCCTCTAACATCTCCTTTCCCATCTCCCACCCCTCCCCCCTCGAC